CTAGTGCTAGCTATTACCATTATTACAGCAATTAAATGCTGTGACAATTTTTAGTCACTATTTGCATTTTTTTTACATTGTTTTTTGAAAATGTTTCTAATGGCTAACATCCAATGAACTCTTCTTCAGACACACAAAATGGGAGAGGAAGAAATGTGTGTGTTGTTCAGACAAAAACATAATTTGAATATCTGTTTTATTTGACTTTCAGTCAGGTATTTTAATTCTTTTGGATAAAAGTTTGTATTTTACACACTCTTGTCAATAGTTCTTATTCTAGCTGCAGACTTTTCAAACAGCATTAATGTACCAACTCTTACAACCTTTTTGTTTACATATTCATTTAACAGTGAGAAGCAGAAAGCAGATGTAAGCAATACTCATTCTCTTGATTATTAGGAATAAAACCTTTCAACAAGCCCCAAAGACAAAGTACTTCCCGTTTAACACACAGTAACGACTGATCTATAACTGCTGTACACCCTCTATTTCTCCATAACTCTTTAGGGGAGGAAGCTAAGAAATTCTGGTTCCTAAGGATACAAAAAGATCAACATAAGTAATCCCATACTGCTTCTTTCTGCATCTTTCTTCTCCTAGGTAGGTCATAGCTAAAGAAAGTTGCAAGGTGTCAATGGATCAGGCTGTCTAATCTCTCCTGAGTCTTCACTACTACTTGGCAATCACTTTCACTTATAATGTATCCACCCTGACAGTACTGACAGCTTTAACAAACCTCCCTTACTTTCCCCATCCCTATATCCCCCACCTACAATCCAGACACATATCTCTTCATTCTAGCAGTTTTCAACCTCGGTGAGGTAGCAAAAGCCACCTGAGAAAGCTTCTGTAAATGACAAACCACTGCTCCTGTTGCTGCCTCCTTCTTACCCCAAAATTCTTATGCACCTGTTTGGAAGAACAAGCCAGAAACTCAGGAAGAGGCATATGTATCTGAAAAGGTGACTTCCTGTGGGTAGAGATCTAATCTTACTCATTTCTATTCCTAGCACTTAACCAAGTGGGCTCTCAGCAAATGAATACCCAAACCAATGACATCATTTATTAAAGTAAAAAATCTTGTGATGTCTCCAAATGTCTCTTGTCAGTTTACAGTCTGTAGCATTTTCAGGATAGTGAGGTAATATGTTATAGTGGTTGAAAGCACAGACTCTGAAGACAAATTAGTGGGTTGGAATGTGAACTACACTGCAAAGCAGGAGCTCTGTAACTTTGGACAGAAGTTACTGAACCTCTCTGTGCTCCAACTTTCGCATCTGTAAAATAGGAGAGAATAAGAGTACCTACCACACAGGGTATTGTGAAAATAAAATATTAGTACATGTAAAGAGCTTAGAAGAGTGCTTAGAATGGAGCAAACACTATATAAATGTGAGCTAACATTTCTCTCTGAAGCCGCATGCCTGAATTTGAGTCCTGTTTCTGATATGTACTTAAGTGTAAATGATCACAGGCAAATTACTTGATCTCACTGTGCCTGTTTCCCTATCTATAGAATGGGGATAATGATAGTATCTATTTCACTGGTTGTCATGAGAAATAAAAGAGGAAATATGCAACACATATAGCACAATGTCTTGTACATAAAGCACTCAGTAAATGGTAGCTATTATCACCTCAGTCTCACGTGCATTTTGGGTGCTGAAGTTGGTTTCTTGTGGCCTGACTCTGGTGTATGTGTGGGTCCAATCAGGTAAGTTCCATCAGATGAGATCCTGACCAGCTCCAACCCCTTTCCACAGATAAGGAGTTCTTAATCTAATGTCCATAGTGAGCTTTAAAAACTTTTTATTCAAAATTGGGTATAAAAGAATGGTGTATATTTTTCTGAGACGAAGGGCCATAGCTTTCATTAGCTCCTCAATAAGTAAATGACCCTAAATAGATTTTTAAAAACAAAACAAAACCTATTGCCAATAACATTACCAGTACAATTTTCATCTTTTTCTTCTCTTAAAACAATTTCTACACCTTCCCCTGAGTCTCTAAATCAAAGTTACAGTATTTTAAAAGTCTCTCTGCAATGTGATTCTAGTATAATCCTTCTCATTTATAATATTGCCAGATTATTTCTTCAAAAGAACTATAATAGTACTTTCTCTGCTCAAAAACCTAAATACTGTCCAATATCCAATATCTTAGCTGAACATTCAAGCTTTATAACTTGGCCATAGTCTACCTTTCCAGCCTTGTCCTCCATACATGGCCCTAAGGGAGTCACTTGCCATTGTAGAAATCCACATGGCTTTCCTCCATATCTCACTCTACTCTGTCTAGAATGTCTTCAACACCACTTTCTCCAGCAAACCAATACTCTTCTTTAATAGTTATTGTCTTTAATAACAAATATATTTCATTCCCCCTGCTAAATAGTAAATTCTTTGAGGACAGGGACTATGGCCTTCTTTACTTTTATATTCTCAATTTTACCTAGTATCATGGTTTATAAATTTAGATAAATATTAGTTCTCTGGTAATCTTTTCAAAGTTAGTAGACAGAACATTCCAAGAATTTCTAGATATTCATGAAATTTGAAATACCAAATTTCAATCTGTTAACTAAAGCTTTTAAAAGGCAAAAACTGCTATGTCATAACATAATTTTCAACACACTGTAAGTTATAGTTGTGTCCTAAAGGACACAACTATGGTTACAGCATTATAAAGATTAAGTGGACAGCCCTAGTGGTTTAGCTCAGTGGATAGAGCAGTGATGGCGAACTTATGACACGCGTGTCAGAGGTGACATGCGAACTAATTTTTTTGGTTGATTTTTCTTTGTTAAATGGCATTTAAATATATAAAATAAATATCAAAAATATGTCTTTGTTTTACTATGGTTGAAAATATCAAAAAATTTCTATATGTGACACGGCACCAGAGTTAAGTTAGGGTTTTTCAAAATGCTGACACGCCGAGCTCAAAAGGTTCGCCATCACTGGGATAGAGTGTCGGCCTGCAAACTGAAGGGTTCCAGTTTGATTCTGGTCAAGAGCACATGCCTGTTTTGCGGACTTGATCCCCAGAAGGGGGTGTGCAGGAGGCAGCCAATCAATAATTCTCTCTCATCATTGATGTTTCTATCTCTCTTTTCCTCTCTCTTCCTCTCTCAAATCAATAATAAATATATTTTTAAAAAATAAAATCAATAAAGATTGAGTGGACAATAAATTTCCAAATCATATATATGATAATGGTATTCTATCACTAAGGACTTACAGAAGAGTAATAGAAACCACCTCCTCCCTTCAAATACCTAAGTTCTATGAACCCCACAATGTTATTATCTCAGTCAATTGCCTAGAAACATTCAAAGCCCAGTTAGTGACAGAAGTAAGGTTTCAATCCAAGGTTCCTAAATCAGGGGCAAGTTCCCTAGATTGGTGGTTCCCAACACTTGCTGCAGTTTAGAATCCTCTGCAGAGTTAAAAAGAACAGATCCCCCCTAACCGGTTTGGCTCAGTGGATAGAGCGTCGGCCTGCGGACTCAAGGGTCCCAGGCTCGATTCCGGTCAAGGGCATGCTTGGTTGCGGCGGGCACATCCCCAGTAGGGGGTGTGTAGGAGGCAGCTGGTTGATGATTCTCTCTCATTGATGTTTCTGACTCTCTATCCCTCTCCCTTCCTCTCTGTAAAAAATCAATAAAATATATTTTTTTAAAAAAGAAAAGAAAATATCTATTGAGCACCTACTGTTTGTACTGGGGTTACAACAGTGAACAAAAGAGATAAACATCCCTGCCTTATTGAAACTCATGGTCTCATAAGGAGGATAGACAAAAGTCAAATAAATATATAAGATAATGTCAAGAATGAAGAAAAAGGGGCAATCAGTTCAGGTCCCCTCCCTGCTGCAGAGAGCTTTTCTGTAATAAAAATTTTGCTTAAACAAAGAAAACGGTCACAGACAGAAAGACAGTAGGGCAAGAGCTCCATAGTGAGTGCAGTCATGGAAGGCTTCCCAGAGGAGATGGCATTTGAAAGGAATCTGAAAGAGAGAAGGAGCAAGCCATGCAAGTGTGGAGTAAGAGCATTCCAGGCAGAAAGAACAGCAAATAACAAAACCTTGAGGTAAGAACATGCTTGGTGTATCTGAGAAACAGCAAGGATGCCAGTGTGGCTGACAGGGAGTGTGTGAGAGGAGAGAGGAAGTTAGGACAGAGCAACTGTGTAAGGAATCTGGGTTTTATTCTAAGCATAGCAGGAGGAAACTTGAAGTTATTGAAGCCCTCCCATGTTGTGTGTTCTTGCATGTGAGAAAGTAGACAGACACACTCTAAAGCAGTGATGGCGAACCTTTTGAGCTCGGCGTGTCAGCATTTTGAAAAACCCTAACTTAACTCTGGTGCCGTGTCACATATAGAAATTTTTTGATATTTGCAACCATAGTAAAACAAAGACTTATATTTTTGATATTTATTTTATATATTTAAATGCCATTTAACAAAGAAAAATCAACCAAAAAAAATGAGTTCGCGTGTCACCTCTGACAAGCGTGTCATAGGTTCGCCATCACTGCCTTAGACAGTGGTTCTCAACCTTCTGGCCCTTTAAATACAGTTCCTCA